ATTCAACTTACGTGGAGACAGCATTAAGTCCCGCAGCTCGCATTTTTCTTAAACGATCCCTCCAATATTGTCTAGGCGCTCGAAAATAATGAAAACTACCGGAAACATATCGAAAGGGTTTTCCATCTAATAAAAACTGATTGTTCTCGTAATCGACTTCGAAACCGTATCGCCATTCCGTATCCTGTAATCATTTATTTTAAATATTGACTAAAATAAATTTATAATAAATAATGCGCGTTAATTGTTGCATTCCTAAAATTAAAAAAAAAAGAAAATAAAACAGCGGCGAATGCAAGTCAGCGCGGTAAAGCGTGCGCAATATATAATAATTCTACGTAAAATAATTAAAAACATAGTTAATAAAACCGTACGTTTCGACTCTTGCTTTGAGCCACTTTCAAGGAGATGACTACAATATATTTTTGTGGAATCTGTTTTGACCGACAACACATTCTTCGTTTCATTTTACCGTTGATTCTTTCATACACACCAAATGTTTTACAAATAGATATTTTAACTTTATATTTACATTTATTAATTTATTCAAAAAACGTGATTTTTATTTTTATTGACCGGACTTTTACCGTTGGACCTTTTTATTATTTTATGATTTGTTTGCTTGTTTGTTGACCTTTATTTTCTGTAGTTTCTATTTAATACTAAAATACGAGTCAATATATAATTTTTATTGTTTATAGTGAAATTTTCTTCACTATATTAATTTCTGGTGATTGATGTATTTTTATTTAATGTCTCCTCTAGCGGGGAATTTTATATTTTATGGTCTGCAATAGAATACATCCATCTACAAATATTGTAATCATCTCGCTAAAGATGATTCAACGAAAGAGCCGAAACGTACGATTTTATTAATTATATATTTTTATTATTTTCGATTAATTTGCATTGAATCATTATTGCGCCCTATTTACCGCGCTGACTCATGTTCGCCGCTCTTTTTATTTTTTATTTGTAAAATTTGCAATTCTCATTATATATTTTTCAAATTCGCTTATTTTAATCATTTTTACACAATATTTTATTATACATATATTTGTATTATATCACAATTATATGCTTAAGTAAATATCTTACTTTTATATATTTTTTTATTATCAAGGTTCGCTCCAATTAATGCTATGCTTTTATATAATCTATGTAAAATATGTCACATATGTTCTACCATATGCTACATGTGTAAGTGCTTTCAAATGTTATATATTTATACTGTGTCATAATTTTATAATTTTGAAGTTAATTGAATATTAACGGACACCTGTTTCACTGACTTATTTCGCTCGTCTTTGGCCTCATATGCTGACTATTGTTTACAATAACAAGCTGGTATTTTAAATATTTATAATTTTCGTTATATTTTAACGCGAGCTGATTAACAAATTAAGATAGATATATCTTCATTCAAAGCCAGTTATTGTATGGTCAGTTGATTTCATATCTTTTAACTTTGCTCAGCTGCGGTGTCATTATCCCGTACTCTGATAAGTTAATCATAAAGATAAAGCATACGTTCTCATAGAAATATATGTATAACAACAGACATTCTAGAACATCTTTCTAGTAATTCTCGCAATGAGAATACAAATAATCTTAAGTATGTATGCATATATATGGACTTCTGTCGTTTATTAAAACATATGTTGTATATATGTAGTTTAAATGCATGTTTAAACTTTAATTGAATAATTTTTTTTAGATTTTAAAAGGATTACGATAAAAATTCAATACAATTCAAATAAAAATAAAATTCATTATGTAAAAAATGATACTCGAAATTTAAGTAACATTTTAATTCCATTCAATCAACGATGGTTATATCTGGGTTACGGGGTCGAGGACAATTGTCAATCGGTAGAATCAATCTATCTTTATGACTACTTTATGACTTGCATTCAAAAATTTTATAATTTACTCGAACGTGTACATGTCACAGATTTCTATAGAAATCATCGTGAATGAACCGTGCACGAACCATATATAACGTGTTACATTTTACTTTTATTAAATCAAACAACATAGTATCTTATTCAGTCCTAGTTTAAAAAACTAGGTTAACGAATTATCTAAGAAATAATACTAAATTTTTTATCTTTCCGATAATTATTATGTTAATTTCAAAATTCTCTATCTTTTCTTAATCCTCGTCATTTCCATTCAAGCAATCAGTATTAATTTATAGATCGCACTCACATAGTTTTATTCGCTTTCATATGTGCACATTTATGTGTCGTATTTTTATATAAAAATATTTTAATTAATAGATATATTGTTCTAATATATTCTTAATTTTGGGAAATTAAATTATAAATGAAATCGTTTATTAAATAATACTGATATACATAACAAATAAAAGTAAAGATTTTTTTAATATGTAAAGATTCTTTCAGGCATTAATCTATATAGATCAATTTAAATTTTTTATTGATATGAACAGAGGTGAAAGTGAGCGAAAAATTTTTTTTATTATATATATATACCTATATATATATAT